GCCCAACACCTAGGAAACATCTACATTATACAATGAGTGGTTTACATAGGAATTATAACACATCATCCCGGAGGTCTCCCAGGGACCCTCAAGGGGGATATGAAACCAGGTCTCCTCTAAGACAGGAACGTTCAATGAGATCTGTGCGTGGAGAGTGGAAGTCTGACAGTTAACGGAAAGAACAACTTTATAAGTAATTTGGTCAGACCTGCTTACACAGGACACGAAGTAGAGATAGTCCTCAACGTACGACAATTGAGCCCCAAATTTCTGTTGTTAAGCGAGATCTTTGTTGAGTGAGTTTTGCCCCATTTTACAACATTTCTTGCCACAATTGTTAAAGTGAATCACTGCAGTTACATTAGTAACACGGTGGTTCAATGAATGTGGCTTCCCCGTTGACTCTGCTTGTCAGAAAGTCTCAAAAGGAGATCGCGGGGCCACCACGACCGCAACTGTCATAAATAGGGGCCAGTTGCCAAGCATCTGAATTTTCATCAGGTGACCATGAGGACATGGCAACGGTCCTGTGAAAAACCGTCATAAGTCACTTTTTTCAGTGCCGCTGTAACTTGGAATGGTCACTAAATAAACTGTCGTAAGTCGAGGACTTCCTGCATTTCACGATGTTATTTTATTGGAGACCCATAAGCCTTGCTTTTCCAGAGAAGAAAATATATGGCTGTACCTTCACAGCAGTCTTGCCACATCCTGAGATCCACTTTGGGGACTTCAGCACAGCTTCCGTAGCCGTGTGGGAACTCGGCCACTCTGAAAACATCCCGCTGCACTCTGGTTATGTTGTCCCCGTTGTCACAGAGAACTCTTGCAAGGGACGACTGCTTGATCTGGGTCAACTGGGCTGGAGTAAACACACCTGGGTTCTCATACCACAACCTGTAGTCTCACGTCAAGTAAGAATAAACTCTTAGTCAGCATTCAGGGTAACAGAAAAGGATTCAGAACTAAGAAAAGGGAGGAATATATTCACATTAACACAGTGTTCCTCAACCTTGGCGACTTTTAAGTCCCGTGGACTTCAACTCCCAGAATTCCCCCAGCCAGCTCTGCTGGCTGGGGGATTCTGGGAGTTGAAGTCCACAGGACTTAAAGTCGCCAAGGTTGAGGAACACTGCATTAACAGAACATTTAAAGCATGGTTGTGTTTAATGGCAGAACATTACTCATTACATTGACTTTCTCTTTCTCTA